CCAGGGCGGCTGCCTTGTCCTCCGCCGCCACCGCCCCGCTCCCGGCGGCTCTTGGCGTCCTCTCTCCGGGACCGTGGGGCTGCGTCCCCCACCAGTGCGCCCTCTTCTCGGATGCCCGGGGCCTGGCCACCCCGTCCTAGTTACCGGCCCTGCTTCGTCTCCCTCTTTCCCCGCTGCCCGGGCGCATCCTCGGCGCGTGGGTGAACATCTGCTTCACTTGTCACTGCGGCGGCAGAACCGCGGTCCGACCGGCGTCCTCCTCCGGGCCGCCTTTGCAGATCGCTCCTCCCAGATGGCTCTGGTCCCGCTCCTGCGAACACTCCGCGCTTTCGATCTCCCTCCATCCACAGCCTGGCCCTGCCCTGCTTTCTCTTTCCAGACCCCTTGCTTTCCTCCGTGAATCCTCTCCAACGTCCTGGCCTCACTCAGTTTCTAACCTCGAATAGGTTTCTTTATTCTCACGCCCTCCCCATCAATCGACCTTTTGTTTTATCCAGTTTTCCCTATTATTGGTTGCATAAACTCACGGATCTATGTTGTCTATCTTCCTTCCTTTCCCTTCTTCTAATCTCTGTCTTTTACCTTTCCCTTTAATTGCATTGAAAACTTTCTCCTGAACAACCTCCGTTTTCCTTTCAGTTAGACTTCCTACTTGCCATTTTTACCCTGGAGAATTGATAGTCATGTATACGCTGTAGAACTTGGAATCCACTATGTGAGGATTTTCATCTTTGTAAAAATTCACCGGTTAATTAAACCCTCCATTAAATGTTCATTCTGAAAGTCCCTTTTCTTTGTCCCTGAAGAACAGATTACTGAGTCCCCAGCAAGGCCGAAATCTTCTGCCTCCCTGTTCTTTATGTCACAAGGCCTGTACGTGAGTGTGTGTTGGTTACTTTTCTATCTTGCTGAGACAAAATGGAGGCATCCAAAGTTAAAGAGGGGTAGGTTTATTTAGCTTAAAGCTTGTAGAGGTTTCAGTCCATAATCACTGGCTCCAAGGCAGAGTAGCAGAGGGGCAACTGTTCATGGCAGCAGAAAACGGCAAAAGCAACAAGGGACCGTAAGTGCGTCTCTCTGTCCCTTTTATTCAGACTCCTTAGGGAGGGCAGCACTCACACCCTTAGTCCCAGTGCCCTTGGGCCTAGCCCCACCATGAATCAGTCACACACTCTAGATTCAGCCCCCTTCAAAACAGCCCACCCGATTCACATGAGGCTTTGGGAGGACTTCTAGACACAAGTCATAACAGGGAGCAATGTTTATCTTGGTAGCTGCGTATTCTGGGCTTCCAGGTTCACAGGCTATAGACGTTATTGTCGAGGGACTCTATGACAACAAACCCAGACCCATCCTAAGGCATCCTTCCTTCTCAGATGAAGAAGTACAAACAGCAAATAGGCATGTGAAAAAATGTTCAACATCACTGGTCATTCGAGAAATGTGAATGAAAACAGCGCTGCCCGTCTTCCTTGTTGTTTTGAGTATATGGAAATCTATTCCAGTTGTACCCATATACAGACCACAGATTTCATGTAAAGAACACTGGTGACTAAGTCTGTTGCCTAACTCCTTTTATTCCACTACGCACATCCTTGTTTTCAAATTGGTCAGTGACCACTGAAGAACAAGCAAACATGACTTCATCTCATTTAAAGCTCCTGGAATTTCACTGACTGGAAATAATGCTAGTGCAGGCAATGAAACATTTTTAAAGCAGAGTTTTCATTGCGGTCATATTGCATGGTCAGTCCCTTCCTCAGAGCTCAGCTTTCTACCTCCCTTGTGTAATCCCACCACGATGGGGCTTGCTTTTTCTGAATTTTTTTTTTTCCTACAGGATTTGCACATTTGGTCTTCGGGAATTTTATTATGGGGATTTTTAAACTATGAATTTTGATCTTTCAGGATGTCAACATCTGTAATTGAGGTATTCAGGTGTTACGATCAGCACTGGTAATAATGTTTCCTCTTTTATACAAGATTTATTGTATGGGTTTTAAAGAAAAAAGTGCCCCACCAACATCCTGCCATCTCAGGCCAAAATCTCCAGAAAAATCCCCTTTACTCTTCCCAAAAAAGTGGTTTAAAATTTATACAGATTTTACAAGAACTGCTCATAGCCCTGAGTAGTCTAGCATAATGTCTATTTGAAGGTCTTGACGTATTATAGTGGTTCAGTTAGGGCATCTGTCAGTATTTTCAGGTTTTCTCCACAGGGATTCAGAGTGTAATGAACAAAATCAAGCAGCAATAGAAGACTTGCTAAGAACTCAAGACACAATTTCAGTAATTTTGAACAAAGCCTTAGCATTTATGTGTCATAAGATGGATTGGCTGGTGAGCTACCTAGGCAACTAGGGTGTCTGTGTGGGTCACAGAGCCTGAACTTGGGTGCTCTTCCTGGTCCCCAGCCCCTTCCTCTCTGCCATTCTTCCTCTATTCTGCCTGCCTACCACCGTGAAGTGAGCATCTTTGCTCCACCATGCCCTTCTGCCATGATGTTCCTGAACTGGAGCCAGTTAATCATGAACTGAAACCCTGAGCAAAAACAAACCCTTCCTTCTTTAAATTGTATATATCAGTTATTTGGTCCCACTGCCAAATAAGCTCATCAATATGTATGTTAACAAAAATGATGGATACTAACAAAAACATGCATTTGAGTAACGCAAAGCATCTTTCATAATTTTTATTTTGCACCAGGAATTTTGTTGTAAAATGAAGAATGACACAGAAAGAGGAGACTCATCACACAGGCATGGCTTCATACAAAAGTCAAGTCCTCATCAAAAAGTGTATTGTGATAAACAAACAAAAACCCTACAAACGAAAAGACCTCTCCCAGCTAAAAGCTGGTAGAAAGGGAAGAGCTGACCAAAGGAGACAAAAGCCCTAAGATCACTTCTGCCTCCTTTGGGATAGGTCTTCCCTTGTGCTAGGCTATATTCTGTTCCTTCTTCATTGAGCATTTGGGAAATCCACCCAGTGATGGATTAGTATTTTCAAGAACATGCTGGCCTCAGAGACAGAATATTCTGGTTTTCTCTTTCCATGTAGTAAGGATACTGCCCTCCCATTAGAGAAAGCTGTTGCATATTTTTAGCTAGATGGGTGAGTCTGTCTCATTATGGGGTGAAATGTTAAGATCTTTGGGTCATTGTAGTTCTAAATGCATGTTCTCCACCTTGTTCGATCAGTAATAAAAACTGTATCATTTTTTCGCTGTTTGTCGTATTTTCCTACTTTATCTCACCTTAAAAGAGAAAGGAAGGATTGTTGTGTCTTGAGCGCATAAAACTCCAGCTCAAGATGCCATTTTAATATCCTCAAGAAATAAAAAGCTGGATAAATAGCAGATTGGTAAAAAAAGGAGTTGCTTCTAGAACTTTGAGGTTTTAGTTATCATTTACTTAAGGGCTCTGAGTTAGCACACAGAAATCGGTGTCTGTCAGACCTATAGAACAGGAGGACCACGCTCCCTAACAAAGAAGAGAGAGCAAAGTTCTACGTCAGGTAGTGTCAGAGTGAAGGATGAGCTGGAGACTGGAGGGTAGGACCATAAGAAAACGATTTAGGAAAGTGTGCTGTGGAAGCTAGAAGCTAGAGAACTCACCGCAAGAAAGCCTTAGCAGCGCGTTAAGTCATGCCTTCCTTTGTGACATTCAATATCGTACAGAATTTAATTCTCTGACTTGCCGGGCGCCCCTCCAGCTCTTGCCTTTCCTTTCAAATACTGGTGGGACTGTGTGAATGACATAACCAAGGACTGCGATCGAAATCAAGACCACATGCGACATACTTCTGCCTCCACGGAGCTCTTACTGTGAGGAAGTTTAGTCAGGGATGACAATTCAAAATAACTTGTATTTGATTACTAGGGCAGACAGCATAAAACCACCTGGGGCGCGGCTGCTTTCAAACTGCCAGTCACATTCTGTGGGCGTGGCCAAAGGAGGATCTCCGACGGGGAAGGCGGGGCCGATCTGGATCCTTGGTAACCAATGGCTGCCCCTGAAGGCGGAACTTTGGAAAATGAATGGCGGAGGATATAACCAATCAGAACTGAAGATGGCTGCGGCGGAGTTTGAGTCTGCTGCTAGGGTAAGAGGTGGAGGTTAAACGAGGCATTGCTCGGGGTAGTGGCTATTTATTAATCTGTAACAAAGTGTTTCCATTTTTAAAACAGCCAGTGAGCCATAGCTGTGCCTGCGGTAGGGTATCAGTGTCGATACGAGGGCTATTTTGTCTACTAAGAGCACCATCTCCTGAGAAGTGCTTTTTTCCATTTTTATAATTCATTTATATAATCAGGTGATTCAAAGAGGAGTTACCATATACTGTACGTCAGACTTCTTCCAAGCAGCAGTGTTTGGGCGTGGATATGGGACTCAGGTTGCTAGGACTGTTATTTATTCATATTTATTACTAGTCTGGCATATGATTAGGCACGTGAGAATCGTTTAAGAATCAACAAATACAAGCCTCTTTTGCTTCCTCTGATGCTTCGTATAAAAATCTCTACAACCATCTGACTCTGTTGTAATAAAAAGTCTTACCCTGTTTTAGCAGCTCCGTGTAAGTTGATTTTAAAATGTAACATGCATCAGTTTCTTTGATAAGTTTAAAATTTGCTGACAGCTGTGACTACGATTTGCTTTTCTGTATCTCTCCTACCCCGTGTACAAACTCAAAGGTAATTGAATTTTACCCAATTCACAAGGTCGTTGTCAAGTTTAGGCAGAGTAGATACATAAGCTTTATTAATTGGAATACTTTGGACAAATGTTTGTTGATACATTTTTGCATTCCGTGTAAAATAGTTGAGGACCTCCCACGTACTGATCACAGAGTTCTCCATTACAACACAGTCCTGCATTGCTCCAAGGATCAAAGGGTAGGAACTCAAAGGCAATACCTGATTGCAATTGAGATGATGTCAATTAATTCTGAACAAGTGACTCTGATTCCAGAGTTCCTAAGGTGTGAGTACTGGACTGGAGAGAGACAGTTCCAGCTTTCTCCTGATGCATGCTGAGTAGCCTGAGAAGACCATAATCCTCTTCCTGGAATAATTTCAGTATGTTTGAGGAGTACCACCACCAACACGTTTGAGAGGAAAAGGAAGTGCAAGTATGAATGCTTTTGTTACAAGGAAGGTTGACCCAAAATAACTCTGCATTTGTGTATTAATTAAAAATATTTTGGTTTTAAGTAACAGAAACTAACTCAAAGTAGCTTGAGGAAGAAAAGGAGCAGTATTACAGAGAATGATGCTTAATGGAATCCAAGGATAGAAATGTGTACAGGCTTTGTGAAAGCCTGGTTTTAGAGCCAGAAACTGAAAAGAAGCCGAATCTCTGCTCCAAATCTGCATTTCTGTACACACCTACTACAGCCCTCCCTCTCTGCTTCCCTGACCCAGATGGCAGTCTCCTTAAAGTACTCCCCACTACCAAAATTGTCACGGCAGGGCTGGGTGACCATTATTTAAAGCTGTGGTAGAAAGAATGTCCCTGAGTGGGAGGAAGGGAAACGAGAAAAACTTTTATCCATAGGCTATTTTAAATATACTATGATTCTACCAACTTAGGCTCCCATGCACAAAAATTGCTTTCCGTTACACTTTCTAGCTGTCTCTGTTAATAGCCCTGTTGGGTTTTCTCTCTGTTTCAGCTCTTCACCTTTCCTGTAGAGTCCATCACAAGGTCATATTGGGTCTTCCTCCCAAAAGCCTCTCCTTAAATAATACTAATTTTCTTCTAGTATCAAAAAGAGAATAAAAGCATCATTCTTTTAACCGACGGATAAAAGTTTATAATCACATCAGGACGTGAAGTTGAACTTGAACTGAAAACTTGTTTTCATCACTGCTAGAACTACATGACGTTGGAAAAAACAGTCTTAGAAAAAATTTCCCCCAACTGCAAAGTGAGGACCTTATAGTACACAATCTTACTGAATGTTGGGTCAAATTAATATATAACGTGAAATCATATAGCATCTTGTCTATTGAAGCAAGTACTAAATACAAGCACTTTAGTGAAGAGTAATTTTTAATAATGTAATGATAAATGCATTTACATAATTTAACTTTTTTAGTCTATGAAACCCTCACCCCAACATTTTCTTACCTAATATTCATAAAGCTCCAAGAGACCAATATCCCTGTATTGGAGAGGGAAGTAGCCAAAGAATAGAGAAATGGAAACCTTTACTTACTTGCAATTGTATGGAAATTACTCCACTGGAGAGGGAATGTCCCGTCTGGGAAGTTCTAGTAAGACTACCTGGCTGCATCACGCTCATATAGCTAGGATCCTAGATTTTGGTAGGATGACTGACGCAGATTATCTCTGAGGTCCTGTGCTTGTTTGTTTATTCACACATACAATAAATATTTACTGATCTCTTACCAGAAACTACTCAAGAGTCTGGGATACAGCACGAACCACCAAGCAAAATTTCCAAATGTGCCTGAAGATTAATGCAAATATAGAAAATATTTTGTACATAACATACATTGTCTATAACACAGAAATAAATTAATACAAAAATAGGCAGCCTCATTTTCAATTCTTCATACAGATTTTACTTAAAAACCCTCTGACCCTTATTCTCCTTTCTGGCCCTGTCCCCAAACTTAAAAGTATCAAGGAACTAGAAAGTTATGCTGCAGTTTGAATGCCACACCTGCTCAAGGAACGAGGCTTGTTGGAAGCCTGAAATCCAGAAAAGTGGGCTGGATTTTGAGAGTGTAGGAAGGTAGGAGAGTTCCCGGAACTAATGTTTCAATGGTTGAGGTTCTCCGTGGGAAGTCAATTCGGAGGACCGGTAGCGGAAAGCTCTCTTGGGCTGTTTCCGGCCACCTCAGCGGGAAGCGGAGACGCCGGCGGCTGCATCTTCGTAAACTGAGGTGGAGCTTTTGCTGTCCTCGCAGCAGAGGAAGTGAGAACGAGACCTCCGGCAGTGCGGACCGGTGTTGGGTCCCTGTAGCCAGTGAAGATGGTGTTGCTGACGATGATCGCCCGAGTGGCGGACGGGCTCCCGCTGGCCGCGTCGATGCAGGAGGACGAACAGGTAAGCTGCTCCCGGATCCCCGCCGCTCCACGTCCCTGCGAGGGCTCCGTGCAGTCCGCACCGGATTCCTTCCTGGAATGTGCCCTTTGTGACCTCAGTACCTTTATTAGCAGCAGAATATTAGAAGTTCTGAGTTTTGGGCAAGGTCCCAAAAAGTCAGGTCTGGATGCTCACAATTAAGACAAACCTGCCCCAACTCCAGAACATTTTCTGAAGAGAACAGGTAGCACAAAGATGTATCTGCGCCTTCAGCAAAGATTTCCTCTCACAGGTACTCTCCACCCACGAAAGATAAAAGAGCACGTATCATATTGCATATATACATGATATGTATTTGATATATGTTGGAGATACATATCTATCTATCTATCTATATATATGTCCATATCCTGCGGCTTAAAAGGGATATGTTTAGTTAAGAAATTACACATTTCTTTTGTTGGACTTTTCATATATGTTATGCAAAAAGAAAGGGAGGAAGGACATTTGAGTACATCAGATAAACCAGGCACGTTAATGTGGGAAATTAGAGGACACCGTTTCTTCCTTCATGGAGGTTGCAATTTACTAGAAAACTCATATGACAAACTATTGTACTGTAATAGAATAGTTAGGGAAGAGGAAGAGGGTTTTTGGGGTTGAACATGGAAAGATACTAAGGTGGGTTTTGAATATCAGGGAAGTTTTCCTAGAGGTGACATCCAGGCTCACGGTAGGATCAAGTAGTAAGACGCTTGTCTATTTGGTTTAATTCTGTTTTAGGTTTGAAAGTAAATAGTATTTTTTTTCACTTTTAGAAAAATAGTGAGGCCAGGTGTGGTGGCACATGCCTGTAATCCCAGCACTTGGAAGCTGAGGCAGGAGGATCCCTGTCAGTTCAAGGTGAGCCAGGGATACATAGTGAGTTCAAGGTCATCCAGATCTACGTAGCAAGACCCTGTCAAAAAAAAAAAAAAAA